GACTGAATATAGCAGCAACTGCAGATCCATTACTTTCTGTAACGTGTTTAGCTAGTGATGGCCACATGTGAGTATTTACTTTGGGGGCTATGGAGTGTGTGCAGTTTTATAATTTGATTTCTTTTCTAATTTATACTTTACTGTAGGATTTATAATTCCCACACCTTTCATGTGAGTGGAATGGCACCTATCTCATAGCACATCCCTTATGAGAAATAGGGTTTTAAATTGTTTTTAATGAAAGAAACAGTACTGGGTACTTTTACTGACATGAGAAGCAAGTTCATTCTGACGCCCTTGCATTTCTTCTGTTACTACACTGTTCCTGGGTTTCCCAGGTGGCTCAGTGGTAAAGAATCTGCCTGCCAGTGAAGAAGACTTGGGTTTGATCCCTGGGTCGGGAGAATCCCCTGGAGAAGGGAATGGCAACCCACTCCAGTATTCTCGCCTGGGGAATCCCATGGACAGAGGAGCTTGGCGGCTACAGTTCATGGGGTCACAAGAGTCGGACATGACTTACCGAGTAATTAACAACACTGTTCCTGCCTCCCGGCCTTTGCACATGCGGTTCCCTCCACTCGGAACAGCCTTCCCTCCACAGTTCCCCAGCACTGAAGGCTCATCCATGGCATAGCTATCTCCTGTGTATCCTCATTCTTTGAGGAATGACAGAGTTGCGAATTACTCTTAGTGGAATGCATAACTAAGACCTTAACTACCTGAGCATCACATCAGTTTGCACCTGGGCTGTGTGTCTCCACTGAGGCTGACTGTCCTTTGAGAAGGCTTTTCTGACAACAGCTTCTTCCCGTTTGAGATTAGGTGTCCTCTAGCTCCCCCATCAGAGCACTCACGGCACTGCATGCAGAGCCTCTGACCAGCCTGCTAATCCCCACATCAGAGAGTGCTGTTGAATCTCCAGGCAACTGACTCAGGGCCTGACAGATAGTACGATGCTCAGAAATATTTTGTTCTTTGCCAAGAGAGGGCAGTAAAAAAAAAAGTGTTGGCCCCTTGAACTCTGTTTTGTATTGTGCATGGGTAAAGTGTAAATCCTTAAAAAATGGATAGACCTGGTTAAGGGTTTAAAATTTCTAAATGAGCTTGGGTTTGTTTTTTTGTTTTNTTTTTTTTTTTTTTTTTTTTTTTTTTTTTTTTTTTTTTTTTTGTGAAAACGACCGCTGTTTGAATATGAGCTCACGGCTTTTTTTAAAAGGAATTTTTTATTTATTTGGCTGCACTGGGTCCTGCTGCGGCATGCCGGATCTTCAGCTGCATCATGCAGACTCTGAGTTGCCGCATGTGGGATCCAGTTCCCTGACCAGTGAAGCTCTGTGACTCTTTGCTGGGCCCCAGATGTTACCCACAGGGGGATGGGAGTCTTCACCCTGAGAGGGTCACAATCTGGTGACACCGGGACATCTCTTGGTTCCCCTCTCTCGTTCTGACATGATTTCCAAATACTGGTCCGAGGGCTGTGGCCTTCCTGCATTTTGGATGCTAACACAGCTTCTCCTTTAGGGTGATGGTGAGTAGAGGTTATTGCAGATTTGTTTATGTCCTTTCTGGTTTTAAAAAAAGTTGACAATTTTGTTATTCCTTCATCCACTTCCACCTAGTTTAAAAAAAAAAAAAGTTCTATTTTACTGATCCGTGAAGTCCAGAGCTGTGACAGTCAGGCTCTGAAAGGAAGGGGAGGGCTCAGATCAGGAAATAACCCAGCCCCCGGGGAGCCCCCAGCCCTGTCTTGCTGCTGGTGAAAGCTGCTACTTTGGAAAGTTCACAGAGCAGGTCCTTGAAGCGCGGTAGATTCAAGTGTTCAGTGGGATAGAGTCGTCCTACCGGCCTCTGTCAGGCGGGTTTAGGCACAGTGAATCTTCTGCTTCTGCCAGGGTCTGCTGAGTGTCTTGCTGAAATCTTCCCTTCATGGAAATGGGGGCAAGCTGGGGACAATCAGACTGTCCAGGACTCCCCTGAGCCCTGGGGCCAGGCAGGCAGGGAGCTGTTGTCAGCCTCGGGCTTCTCTCTCAGCCTCTGCCAGACACTCGGCGGGCTCCCCATGATCCGCGCTGTGGTTGCCTGAGCAGGCATCTGCCGGTGCAGATGTAAGTCATAGCAGGACTTGCTCCCTGACCTCTGTCAGGTAGCTGGGCATCACTGACAAGGCAAAGAGTCTCAATAGTGATTCCTGAAGATGGTTCAGGGCCAGGGCCAAAGAGCTGGTTAATTGAATGGTACCTAATTCACGTACAGCTGTCATTCTCTGTCTAGTCCTTTGGAGCTGGGCTGGGCCCTAAAAGTATGTAAGCAGGCAGGAGAATAGATGTCAGTTCAGTTCAGTTGCTCATTCATATCTGACTCTTTGTGACCCCATGGACTGCAGCCCGCCAGGTCCCTGTCCATTACCAACACCCAGAGCTTGTTCAAACTCATGTCCATCAAGTCAGTGATGCCATCCAACCATCTCATCATCCTCTGTTGTCTCCTTCTCCTTCTGCCTTCAATCTTTCCCAACATCGTGGTGTTTTCTAATGAATCAGTTCTTCGCATCAGGTGCCCAAAGTATTGGAGCTTCAGCTTCAGCACCAGTCCTTTCAGTGAATATTCAGGGTTGATTTCCTTTAGGATTGACTGGTTTGATCTCTTGCAGTTCAAGGGACTCTCAAAGAGTCTTCTTCAACACCACAGTTCAAAAGCACCAATTCTTCAGCGCTTAGCTTTCTTTATGGTCCAACTCTCACATTCATACATGAAGCGATAATTAAAGTTTGAGCCTTGACTCTGTTGATCAGCAGTATCAGGCACCTTCATTTCTGGGCCTCAGTTTTCTTATCTGTAAAATGGGTTTTGTGAGAAGTAAATGGGCCAGTAGCTATAAAGCATAGAGCACAGTGCTCAGCCCAAACTAAGCATTCACTCAGTAAGAGCTGTGATTACCCAGCCCAGTCTCTCCTTTTCTAGGATCATTAGTATATTCAGTGAGTATTGATTAGGTGCCAATGATAGCCACTGTATATTCATACTCCTTGAAGAGTGGTGAATGAGGGCCTTCCCTGGTGGTTCAGGGGCTAAGACTTCAAGCTCCCAATGTAGGGGGCTCAGGTTTGATCCCTTGTTAAGGAACTAGATCCCACATGCTGCAACTAAAAGTTCACACGCTGCAGCTAAAGATCTCACTTGCCACAACGAAGATTGAAGATCTCCTGTGCCGCAACTAAGACCCAGCACAGCCAAATAAAAAATAAGCAAAATAAATATTTTTAAAAATAATAAAAAAGACAAACAATAGAGAAATAAAGTTTTAAAAAAGTGATGAGTTAAAGTGTCCAAGTGTGTGTATAAGTGCATCAAACAGCTCAGCACAAAGCCAGTGACGTTCCTCCTGTTCAGGAAAAGAAAGCAGAATAAAGGCTAACATGCCTGAGGCTGGGGATTGAGGTTTCTACCATAGAAACTGGTTTAGGAGGCTTTAGTCAAGTGGAGTGAGGCTTGCTGACCCCTAAGAGAAAGGCATTCCAAGCAGAGGGTGCCGCAGGCTGCACAGGGCCTCAGACGGGTACTGGGAGGCACGAACATTGGGCATCAGATGGGAGGGGTTCCTTGGAGCTGCCCGATTCTGTGATGGGAGTTGTAGGCATTCCTCAAGTGTTGGGAGGGCACTGATGTTTTGAATAGGCACCCACCCCTGTAGGGATCCAGTCTCTTTAGTCTCCGGTTCATCCTTCCTATTCTTCTTTTGCACAGATAGGCTAATGCTTGAATGTTTTCTTAGACCCCCTTCTTTTGCTATATGGAGGGGATAAAGTACTATAGACACTGGTTTGCACTTTGCTTTTTTCACTTAACAGTATATCCTGGAGATCACTTCATATCAATTCATAGATATGAACTCCATAATGAACTTCTTAAACTTTGATTTTCAGAAAAAGAAATTTAACAAGCCAAGGATTAATTTTAAAATCCCATAAGCCTAATGATGATGCTGATGCTGATAATAAATAGCATAAGCTCTACCATTAAACAAGCACCTACTCTATGCCATGCTCTGGGCTGAGCATTTTATATAGATTATTGCACTGAGTCCTTCCTAGAGCCCAGTGAGATTTACATACTGATGAGGAAACTGAGCTCGGTAATTTTTAGGAACTTGCCAAGGTCATGAAGACTAGAACCACAATTTGAACCCAGGACACTCTCCTAAGTTTATGCTTTGTGAAGAGCACACTCTCACCATTCTAAAGTGTTTTCAGGCTAAAACAAAGCCATGTGGGTTTTTAAAACCTAGACACATCCCAGGCCTTAAAACCCTGTGGATCGTGTTTCAGCTGCTGCCAAAGTTGGCATGTTACTGATGGCAGGAACGTGAAGGTAATTTACTGCTTGTTTATTCCAAAGAAATGGCCCTTCCTTCTTGAGGACCATAGGTCCTGCCTCTAGACAGGAGACAAGAGGGATGCTAGGTGGGGCCCACTACCCAGGATGCAGCAATACATCCCATCTCACCTTGTCATCGCAAGCCACAGCAGCCAGCCCCGATAACAGGAAAGCGCGTTGCCCCGCAGGGCTGTTTGGTTAGCAGGACAGTCCATCAAGCCTGAGTTACAGCAGTTTCTGTTAAAACTGTTTGTACAGCAGGAGTGGAAGAAGGATTTCTTTGGGCAGGAGTCTGGCTTCTGTTGTGAGAAGTGACAGCCGCTGGCAGAGGGGCAGTACAGTGGAGTTGGTTGAGAGCGTGGCTTCTGGGTTCTGAGTGCCAGGGGTCTCACACCAGCATCAGATTTTCGAGCTGTGTAACCCTGGGCAAGTCACTTCACCTCTTCAGAGCATTTCTGTGATGTGATATGACCTGTCTTTGTCAGGGGCTTCCGTGACCACGTTCAGTTTCTATGATTTGTCAGAAGGAATCAGAGAACTCAGCACACAGTCATACTGTGATTTATTACAGCAAAAGGAGACAAAGTGAAGCCAACAAAGGGGACAGGTGAAGGAGTGAAGTCAGAGGACAAGCCCAGGATCTCAGAGTCCTTTCCCAAGGCAGGCACATAGGAGGCACTGAATCCCCCCAGCAACAAGTGTGATATGACACATGGCGTGTTTTCTCCCCAGCAAGCTCATTAGAAACTCAGTGCCCAGGGTTTCTACTGGGGTCTGGGCATGCAGGCACCTTCTGCCAACATGTATCAAAATTCCAGACCCCCAGAAGAAAGGCAGGGATTCAGCATAAATGCACTGTTTGCATGAATAGTTTGCATGAACAGTGAGCCATCCTCAGGAGAAACTGATGCGAACCTTCCCGCAATGCAAGTTCCCAGATGCCAACCAAGCGAGGGCCAGCTTTGCAAGCAAGCCTTTCTCGGGGTGGCAGCCTCAGGCCTCTTAGGTTAATAGCTCTTTTCTGCTCACCGGCCTATAGGGTGGTTGCTGGGTGGATAAATGAGATGATGTAGAGCCCTGGGCACACTGTTTGGTTAGTAAACACTCAGCAAGTGTAGACGATTACTGGGAGAGTTCCGGGTCTGAATTCTGAGTGGTTCCTTAGCTCCTTAGAGCGAGCTCCATCCATCATCCATCTACTCACCCGTTCATTCCTTTATTCAGCACATTTTGATTGTGCCTCGCTGGCTCAGGGGTGGTGTCTGGGCTCCTTGGGACTTTGGTAGCAGTGTTTGAGTCACCCCCTTCCTGGAGGATGAGGCATGGGGGTTTCCATCTTGGCTGGGTTTTGGAGGTGGGTGCTGGTGGTAAGAAACTCTGGGGATGTCAAGGTAGCTGTGAAAGGACCCTGTTACACCCCCAAGTTAGCAGCTCGGGTATACGGTGCTGAGAAAACTTACCCTCCTGACGTCTCGCTTGTTTATCTCGTTTGTCCTCCTGCAGCCAAGGCTAAGTCGAAATGCGGCCCGACTTTCTTCCCGTGTGCCAGCGGCGTCCACTGCATCATCGGCCGCTTCCGGTGTAACGGGTTTGAGGATTGTCCAGATGGCAGCGACGAAGAGAACTGCAGTAAGTGCTGGGGACCCTCCATCCTGGCCACTCTCATCTTTGGGCTTCTTACACCACAGCCTAGGGCCTTTTCTGTTGTTACCTAGAATCGACTTGTTACCACTTCTTCCTTGCGTGTATGTGCAGAGGCTCAGTTACTATCAGGGTCTCTGCTACGTGCACTGGGCCTGGAGCGTAGCTTGTTTTCAGTTCTGATGATTGCTCTGAGAACGCAGGCGTGTGATCTCCATCCCCAGATAAGGACGTGAAGCACAGAGGGGTCAGTGGATTCATCCAGAGTCACACAGCTTATCAGGAGCAGAGCCAGTTCTAGGCCCATTCAGACCCTCATCTGATTGACTCTCCCACTCATCACCTCTGTGCTTAGGTGCTTGCTTTCCTTCTCACTTTGAATTCTTTTAAAAAAACAAAAAAGATGTGTGTATATTAATAATATACATACTATAAGAATCTCTTCTCTCTTTAGTTGTTAAGTTGTAGCCGACTCTTGGGACCCCATGGACTGTAGCCCGCCAGGCTCCTCTGTCCATGGGATTCTCCACGCAAGAACACTGGAGTGTGTTGCCATTTCCTTCTCTCTAAGAATATGCTCTTGCAATTTGCCGTATGATCCAGCAGTCCCACTCCTGGGCATATATCTGGAGAATATTATAATTTGAAAAGATACATGCACCTCAGTGTTCATAGCAGCATTATTTACAGTAGTCACAACATGGAAGCAGCTACGTGTCCATCCAGAGATGAATGGATAAAGAAGATGTGGTTTATCTACACAGTGGAATATTACCCTGCCATAGAAAAGAATGAAATAATGTCATTTGTAGCAAATACTGGTGGACTCAGAGATTATCATACTAAGTGAAATCAGTCAGAAAGAGAAAGACAAATACCATACAGTATCAGTTATATGTGGCATCTAAAATATGACACAAATGAATTTGTTTACAAAACAGACTCACAGACAGAAAACAAACGTGGTTACCAAAGGGGGGGGTATAAATTAGGAGTTTGGGATTGGCACATACAAACTACTGTATATAAAATAGATAAATAACAAGATCTTACTGTATAGCAAAGGGAACTATATTCAATATTTTGTAATAAACCATAATGGAAGAGAATATGAAAAAGAATATATATATATATGAACCACTTTATTGTACACCAGAAACTAGTACAACATTGTAAATCAACTATACCTCAATTTAAAAAAAGAATATGCTCTTGGAAAAATATCCAAACAGTAGAGAGCTAAAGTTTGCCTTGACTTATGACCACCCCTGCCTCTTTTTACTTGCTGTATAATATTCCACGGCATCAGGAGACACACACACCTCCTCTTGTTCTGTCTGGCCCACCTGCCTCTTGGCAGTCTTGATGTTGAAGCTCGCCTCACTGCTCCTTGGTTTGGATCCATGCAGTCCCTTCCTTGTCAGTATCTCTGTGTCCGGATCCACACTCAGCAGCTTCAGTGACCGTCACGTGCGCCTTCCCTGCCTTTCACCCAGCACTTGCTCTGTACCTGCTGCTGGTCCCTCGGGTCACTGCTCAGTTTATTCTCCTTATTTTCCCCTGGAAGACTTAGTTACTAGTTGGCTATGGATGGATTCACATGTTTACTTTCTGCACTTAAATATTTTAATAACCTTTTTCGCTTCCAATTATTGCAAAAGTTGCAGAATATACTGGGTTCCCTCAACCCTCCTACTCTCCACCCAGGCACTCCTTCCCAATACAGTCTCTCGTTTTGTCAGCAAAAAAAAAGTTGTAAAATATAGAAAAGTATAAAGAGGAAAGCAAAACTGCCTAGAAAAAAAACCCTGTTTATATGTGGGCTATTTTGTGATAGTCATCCCCCACTCCGTCTATGTGTCTATCTTCTCTAATATGCTTAATTGAGATGTCCTCTTTATTGTGACCATTTTCTCATGTTATTAATTTTTTTTAAACTAAAGTTTTAATGACTTTAGTGTTTGTTTTGATAAACTGATTTTCTCTTACCCTGCTGCTTCTATTTTAAGCCTTCAAAGAGGAGAGTGACTGTCTCCGTGTTCTTTATCTTTCCGGGGACCAGTCATTGCTGTACCCTCCCAAGAGGGACACAGAGTTTCTAACTCTCCCCGTGGGCCTCTGTTGCCTGATTTCATCTTCTGAGTCTCAAGTGGCAGAGCTATGGCAGAGCTGCTAGGTTGTCGGATGGAAGTGAAGTGGCTGAAACCCACCTTAGTCAGGAGGGTGCACGTCATTAACAGGGTCAGGAGCCTGGCTGAGCAAAATGACTTTGGAGCTGGGGTCTGGTCTCAGATTTGTGTTCTGTCCTGGGGAAGCACAAGTTGGGCATCTTACATAATCTCCTTGCACAGTGGTTTTTCTCTCAAATGGGAATACTGACAGCCTTTTTCCAGGTTTGTTGTGAGGATTAGATGAGATGATATCTGAAAGGTGCTGAGTGTGGTGGCTAGCCAGAGAAATTGACTTTAAAAATGCAAAGTTACTTAAAGCAAAACTGAGTGATTAAGGGGAAGACCATGCCTATTAGGATTTTGCCTTTGGTTTTGAATGGCTAAAGACATAGTTCTTTTATACACGCATACCTCTGAGATATAGTGGGCTTGGTTCCAGACCACAACAATAAAGCAAATGTTGCAATAAAGTGAGTCACACGAATTTTTTGGTTTCTCAGTGCATATAAAAGTTATGACTGCTCTATGCTGTAGCCTCTTAAGTGTGCATTTGCATTCTGTCTTGGAAGAAAAAGCAATATACCTACCTTAATTTAAAAACACAGAACAAAAAATTTTTATAGTAACATCAAAGATTACCTATCACTGATCACCAGTAACAAATATAATAAAGGAAAAGTTTAAGTTACCAAAATGTGACACAGAAATGCAGAGTGAGCAAATGCTGTTGGAAAGACGGTGGCCACAGACTTGCTCGGTGCAGGGTTACCGCACATCTTCAGTTTCTTTTTAAAAAAATGCAGTATCTTCAAAGTGTAATAAAGTGAAGCTAAATAAAACGAGGCGTGCCCATGTTTTACTTAGTCCTTTTGTGAGTATCTGCCTGGTCTCAATTTCCTAGCGTCCATAGGAATCTTATCATCTAAGGGGGGAGGATTCTTTTTATATATTGTCATGTATACATACATTCTAGAGAGTAATCCAATGACAATAAAAGCAGGTGTGATGCATTATAGTATGTACATTCTAAATGCGCCATCCTGTGTACTCTCTGCCATAATTAAAGACCCTGTATCATTTAGATGTTTGGATATTGGTCTTTAATAGTCTAATTGAGTAAATTATATCCCTTATCTGCCATTTGAGAAGAGTGGTTCTGGTTCAGTACTTGAAAACTGGTAGATGAAAGAATCAAGCATTTGTCCTCCCTTTTCATACATGAATTGTGTTTCTGAGTAATTAGCTGACTTAGGAAAGTTCTTTTTTTAATTGAAGAATATCAGCTAATAGAAGAATGAGAGAATTAGAGTATGTCTGTTTTATAACCCTTAATGAAGAAATGGATCTTCAGTGGCTACTAAAACCATTAGATGAAAAATTGATAGGGAGTTTTATAATGGATTGGATCTGGCAGAAAAGTCCTGAAACCAGCAGTCAATCTTCTCACAGATGGCTTTGAATCAATATTGCACCGTAGAGTGGTAAGGAGTGGAGAAACCTTATCACTTTATGGATCTCTTTATATTATAGTTGTATAGATAGTAATCTGCATACTTAAAAAACCCCAAAAGACAATGTGCTAATTCTTGCTTTAACTTTTCCAATATATTTTAAAGAACTCCAGAGGAGAAGACTCGTCTATTATAAATTTTTACCCAGATATTAACCATTTTGATTGCTCATCCTTGATTCGCGTTGTTCCAAGTTTTTTTCTTGTATCATTTTCCTTCTGTCTGAAGAACTTCCTTTAGCAATTCTTTTAAGGCAGTACTGCTGGCGGCAAATGCTCTTAGTTTTCCTTCATCTGCGAGTGTCTTCATTTTACCTGCTTTCCTGAAGGATATTTTTTACTGCATAGAGAATTCTGGGCTGACAGTTCCTTCCTCTATAGCCCCTTTAAAATGTTGTGCCACTTCCTCTGGCTTCTCTCATTTCCCGTGAGAAAGTTGCAGTTATTTTAAATTGTTTTCCCCTAGAGAACAGGCTGTTTTCCTCTAGCTGCTTTGAAGATTTTTTTGGTCTTCAGTTTTCAGCAGTTAGATGATAATGTATCTGGGTATGTGGATTTCTTTGAGTTTATCCTGTTAGGGGTTCTCTCTGAATCTGTAGGATTTTGTCTGTTGTCATACTTAGTACATTTTAAGCTATTCTTTCTCTCTCTTTAATTGAATTGTAGTTGATTTATAGCCCTCTTTTTTTGTTTTTTGGTTTTTTTTTTTAAATGGGATTCTGCTAACAATTTTAGGTCCCCAAAGCTCTGTTCATTTTTTAAATCAATCATTTTTCTTTTCATTGTCCAGACTGGAGAGGTTCTATGACTCTACTCTTCGGCTAAAGTTCGTCAGGTTGACTTTTTTCTCTGTCATTACCAGTCTGCTTTAAAGCCCCTACAACAGGATACTTTTAAAATTTCGGTTACTACATTTTTTCATTTCTCTTTTTTAATTGAAATGTAGCTTATTTACAATGTTACGTTAATGCCTGCTGTATAGCAAAGTGATTCAGTTATACATATATGTTAATGCATTCTTTTTTACAGTATTTGTTTCCATCATCCTTGATCATAGGATACTGAATGTAGTTCCCTGTGCTATACAGATAGGACGCTGTTGTTTATCCGTACACTATATAGTAGCTTACATCTGCTGATCCCGACCTCCCACTGCATCCTTCCCCCAGGCCTCCTCCTTGGAACCCACGAGTCTGTTCTCTATGTCTCTGAGTCTCTTCCTGTTTCATAGATAGGTTCATTTGTGTCGTATTTTAAATTCCACATGTAAGAGATACCTTGTGGTATCTTTCTGATTTACTTTACTT